AAATATCGTCTTGAGATAGCATTCATGCGTATCTGAAAATAAGAAGAGTTCGAGATTTAATTTTCGAAATGGTATCATTTTTTGCCTCCATTTCACCTAACCAAACTCCTACATATATGACCCTTGATGAAGCAAAATGGCGAAACATGATTTGTGTAATTGACCCCAAATAGTTGAGAAAATATTTTGATGAAGATGATGAGATTGAGCCATCCTCATGAAATGGTGAAAAAATAAATTTATTAATTTTAATTTTTATGTAAAAATTATATTAACCTGAAATTTAAGTCCTAACTTTTTTTAAGTAGAATTGAATAAAAATATTGATCAAATTAAATGTTTAGGTATTTTAGTCATTTTTTATTTAAAATGCTTTTAATCAATTTAATTTTATTATCTTTATAGAAATAAACCTACACCCCGAAATTTCAAATAAATATTTTTTTAAATATAAAATACAAATAAAATATGAAAGTAATTTTGACTATTAGATTGGGTCTTATCAAATCTTAATCATTGAAAAGGTGCTTGTGTACGGCACCATTCCATGATGTCTAGTGGATAGTGATATTCTTATGATATTTGAAATTCTATTAAGGATGGTATTACGCTTTGTAGACGCTTAAAAAGATGCACAAGCCCTTTTGGATAAGAACACGATTGAAACAAACTCATCTAACCATCACAAATATTTTTTTTTTTTAATTTTTATTGATAATCATATTAAGCTGAAAATTGGGTACTATTTTTTTTAAGTAGAATTGAATAAAAATAATAAAATATATTTTAAATAAGAAATATCGATCAAAATAAATTGAGGTATTTTAATTATTTTTATTCTTAATATTTTTTAATTATTTTTATATAGTTTTTTTTTTTTTGATAAAAACATACACATCGAAATTCAGACAAGTTTTATTTAAATAAAAAATAAAATATAAAAAAATAAAATGGGAAAATAATTTTGAACCACTAGATTGGGCCTTATCAAATATCTAAAGGGGTGCTTGTGCACCCTTCAACCCGTCCATATGATGTGGACATGATATTTTTCTTAAGTATAAATTACAAAATATTGAGACATTTTTATGATTTAAAAAATTTAAAGAGATACTAGCAATGATTTTCGGGAGAAAGGATAGTGTTAATATTTATAGCACGTAAAGAGGGTAGTATGCTACGAATTTGGTAAAATAGAAAAGATACGGGTTCTATGAGTCCATAGAGAGGAGTATATGTAGAAATGAATCGCTTCTTAAAAATCTAGTTTTGAGAAGACAGCTCTAACATAGAGATCATGAAATATGAAAGAATAAATAAATTTTAAAAATTAAAAATAATAATTTTATTGAGAAAACATTTGGATCATTAGTTTCAATTATATTTAGATGAACTACCCATTTGCATACATCTTTAAGATGGATGCTTTATACCTCGGGGACGCAAAT